AGGCCTTGGGTCGGGCCTAGGCCGGGGTAATCCATGTGTCAGCGGATGCTGTGTTACTGTCACAGGCACGCTTCGAGGAGCACGAGAAGTGCGACTTGTTTGAGGTGGACGGCTACTCACCACTGAGGCACCCGCACCTAGTCACGCGCCGGGACTCGCCGGTCACCCATCTTCTCAAGATCAAGTAGGGCGAGGCAGATCTCACTGCAGGGGGATTCTGTGCACAGAAGAGAGAGGTCCCTCGCACGAGGAAAGTGGCCTTTTCGCACACTATGCGGATATAAGATGAACCCTCTGGGGGGGAGGGGACGTGGTTCTGGCAGTGGTACTTACCTTAATGCTGTACTGCCTTCTTTTATTTTCCTAATTCGTTTCAATTAATTTTGCCAAGGCTACTACTGCAGTGGGAGAGGGGATTTCGCCACCGCTTCATCATACGAGGGCTGTACAGCAAACCCCGCTGCGACGTGATGGGGGCGAGGTTCATGTCGGTGAGCTTCATCGGCGCCAGGAACGCGTACTACCTCATCGTGGCTGGGATGGGGGCGTCCGTTCTCATCCTGCTTGTCGAACTGCTGCACTCACGGCTGTACGCCGGCGGCGCCGGCCACAGACGACCCGCCGGACAGTTGTCCGTCGGTGAGGGTGACGGAGAAGGTGGAGGTCGTGGGGCAGGAATGTCGCTGTCTGCTAAGAAGGAGGTGGAAGCTTAACGAGCTTAACACATTAAGTGCAGGGCATTATTTTATACTGTTTACCTGTGATGTAGCAAGTTAGGGTGATCACATGAAAGTCATGCCACACTAGTTGTCTTAACAGGTGAAGGCTTCATTAAAGCTTCAGATTAATCGGCTGCTATACTCACTGAACTCCTTCTCCCTCCTCGCCATCGTGTGATTTTCTCATGCCCAAGCATCACGCCAACGCCACCCACGCCCCCACCCAACGTAAGTCCCAGACCCAGAGCTTTAGCCCTCATCACCTAGTGCAGCAGCCGCACTCTCACATTTCTGCAAAGCAATGCTCTGCACAACTGCGACTGATTCAGATCATTTGTAACTACGATTCATTCACTGCTCTTAGTTTGGAGTAGTTTGGCCGTTTAAACTGCGAAACAAAAGTTATGCAGCTGTAACTACGAAGCTTTTTACTTCTACAGTTGCAACTACGAAGCAAGTTCAGAAGTTGTAACTCCTAAACGATGCGCCCTAACGAAAGAGTTCGACCTGCTACAGCTAAAAATTTAGCTGGGCCTATACAGACAAAAACTTAGCACCCGTGCTAAATATCTAGTACCACTACCAGTGTTTTTTCATGTACCTCATAAGATGATGTCAAAAGAAAGAAAAGTGTGAATAAAGGCATTATAGAGTAGTTTGATGAATTTTTTTGACAGTGATTGAGAGGCTTGCTTAAGTATGAGCAGACGTCTGTTTACAATTTTTAATATTACGATAAACTGGTGTTTCCACGATAGTATGTCAGAAATGGTAATACCTAAGAATTTTGAGAGAGAAGTTGGATCAGTTTTGGAGTTATTAAGATACAAGTTTAAGTTAATTGGTTTGGAATTTCGAATTATATAATTGGTTTTCTGAACATTTAGAGCTAGTTGGCTCAGCGATTAGCGAAAGCGAAGCCCATTACTCCACTGACCGAAAAAGTTTCATTCTGTTTGTTTCTTTGTTTGTGTGTTTGTTTGTGTGTTTGTCTGTCCGCACGATAACTCGAGAACGAATTGAGCTAGCGACCTG